TAAAATTTATTTCCTACAGAAAATGTCAAAGAACATACAACTTGCTATGGAGGATTTTGCTAGCGGGGAAGTCAAAATTCTTGTCTGCACACATATCATTGAAAGTGGAATAGATATTGCAAATGCCAATACAATGATTGTCCAGTTTGCTGAACTATATGGACTTGCCCAGCTGTATCAGGTAGCTTTTATTTCCTTGTATGTTTTTTCTTTGCCTTGTTAGTAGAATTTTTTAATGCATATGATTAATTCATTAATTACTAAGTCATGCTCAATTGACAAATATTCTAATAAGAATATAAGATGCATGTATCTACTCTCTAAATTTCAAGTTCATTGTTTTGCCTTTGCTTCAGTTACGAGGAAGAGTAGGAAGATCGGGTAGAGAAGGCTTCGCATACCTTTTCTACACTGATAAGTCTTTGCTCTCGAGAGTTGCAACGGTGAGCTCTACAGTACACCTTATAGTTTGTTATTGGTATCCATCATTTAATTTATTTTGTCTCATACCGTTTTACTGTATGTGATGCTGAAAGCATATTTGGGGATGTTGTACAAGATGTTGAAGTCCCAATAAGAAACAGAATCTGACTTTTGATTATGCCAAGATAGTTTGTGCTTGTTACTTGTATTTTACTAAGGCCAATTCACAGTACAGGTGGTACTACCTTATTAGCTGTTTGGGCATTTTTGTAGATGAGACCTACTCTCACAATCGGTAGAATACTGACACTGTGACAACCCCTCTTGCAGCCGCTTAGGCAAGATGTGATGTCATTAAGATAGAGACAGGCTATTTAGTTGGTGAGAGCAGATGGGAATTGCATCTGTTGTTATTCCTAATTGAGAGATTGGATACAGAGTACATTTTATAGAGACTTAAGGCTAAGAAATAAAGAGGCAACACGCCAGGGGGAGAACTATGTGTTTGGGAGACTCTACAAGGAGGAGGTTTATGGTTGATAGAATCATGCACAAATGAACTTCAAAAGAGTTCATGTATACCCAGCAGATCATGGACTTCTACATTTGTCATTTAACATTTTCGTCTACAGGATAGACTTGGAGCTATTGAGGAGCATTCAGAGCTTGGACAAGGTTTCCATGTTGCAGAGAAGGATATGGGTATCAGGGGATTTGGAAGCTTGTTTGGTGATCAACAGTCTGGAGATGTTGCAAATGTTGGCATTGATCTATTCTTTGATATGCTTTTTGATAGCTTGTCAAAGGTATCTTCACTCATTCGAACACATTTACTAATGATTTCTTCTCATTTTGTTTTCTACTTAGTAATCATGGCATTGGTTATCTAATATTATGGTGAGCCTTAAGCTATTAAATCTGCTGCATAAGAAATTTCTTTCTTACAAATAGTGTTACTGATACAATATGGTGGTGCAAATGCACTTGTAATTGAGCTTTTTTGGGAGAGAGAAGGTAGAAACATCTACCTGGCTACCAACTTCTGAAAGGTATCTCTTACCACATTGGTAACACTGAAGTCTGATATGACAAACTTCACTAATAATTCATCTAATCATCTGCTACACATTTGCAAATTTGCATCAGTAGAGCTAACTGCTTCTCAGAATTGTGAGATGCATCTTACATGGCTGAGAAGATAATTCCTGTTCTGAACTACTAGCTTGTGTACAAGTCTCCTTATCATGTCCTCCCCTTTGCAAGACAGTCTATTCTTTGCTTGATTCATCACGGGTGCACATTATTGTATTTAGAATCTTCAGATTACTTGAAGGATAGTTAAAGCAGTTTGGCTAGTCCTTCAGATTACTGAAAGGATAGCTAAGAATATTTGTATTTTGCTATTTCAGTTTCCAACAGTACAACTATTGGGGATGATTGCTTTCCTTTATAAAAGCAGGGCAGACCCAGTGCTGGAGGCTCCCACATGAGTGGGGTCTAGGGAAGGGAAAAACCGAGGCAAGCCTCCCCCCCGCAAAATCTGCGGAGAGGCTGCTTCGAACCCACGACCTGGTGACTCAGTGAGAGCTCTCACCACTGCACCAGGCCTGCCCTTCACTTTCCTTTATAAAAGCAATCGAGTAATTTCTTAGCTAAGTTCTAGCTATAAGCTCTGCATGACATGCTATTGCCCATGATAATTCTGATAGGATTACTCTAATTCTTTCAGGTTGATCAGTTTTGCCTTGTTCCCGTTCCGTACAAAGATGTTCAGGTGAACCTGAAAATACTTCTCAATTTGAGTTGCATAGCTTTCTAATGCAAGCATTACATAATGATATTTTGCAATTTTGTACGAGCATTGTTTGAGTGAATCTTTTCTTGGGGCAGCTGGATATAAACATTTCTCCACGTCTCCCCTCTGAATACATAAGTTATCTGGAAAATCCTGTTGAGTTGCTCAATGAAGCGGCAAAAGCTGCAGAGAAAGACCTATGGACCTTGATACAGTTTACAGAAGACCTCCGTCGACGATACGGAAAGGAGCCCCGTGATATGGAGGTTCTTCTTTGTGCTATGATCAGGGCTCATGATTTCAGTTTAGTGGCTTACTTTGTTGTGTTATGTGCTTTCTCTTGCAGTTACTACTGAAAAAGCTCTATGTAAGACGGATGGCTGCAGATCTTGGTATCAGTCGGATATATCCATCTGGCAAGATGATATTCATGAAAACAAACATGAACAAGAAGGTATTTAGGCTCATGACAGAAGCAATGACTTCTGAAACACATCGGAATTCCCTATCATTTGCTGGAAAGGAAATTAAGGTAAGGGTCCATGTGCCCCAGTATGCAATTTCCTGGAGCAGATGAAGCTGAGGAAAATCAGTCCTAGTAATGATTTTGAAATACTATAAGCAAAGCAGTATTTTAGTTGTGATGGATAGGATTAAATTTGGGATCTTGTAGGTTTTATGCCCAAAATCCAATCAAACAATATTCCTAAAGTACATGACCTTGTCTATTATCTATTAGCATAAATTAATGTGATCTTTAGTGTTCGTGCACAGCCAAGTGGTTAGTGGTTTAGTGGCTTAGTGCAAATCCTTCTATTAACCATAAACCATGTGCCTGGACGCACGTCTCTCTTGTGTCGTTCAAGAAAAAAAAATTTCCATGTGTCGCCTTTCTTACAATTGTACTCTTTTCGACAGGCTGAACTCCTCGTGAGCTTGCCAGATACCCTACTTCTGAACTGGCTTTTCCATTACTTATCAGACTGCTATACTGTAATACCAGCCCTTGTGAAGTACTAGATTATTATTATTTCATAAGAACTGAAGGCTTTTCCCGCCACCATGAAAGGGGACAATTTATCCATGCTTGAAGAGAATGGTCTGTCCGAGAAAGCAGTCTTGGCTATTTGATTCATCTGCGAAGGATGGCTCTTCATTATGTTGGTATTGGCAGTCAGGCTCTGGCAGGCCAAAGCAAGCCCATATGCACTATTGATTTAGGAAAAGGTCTGTCAAAATTGTCAACATAACGAGCATACTTTAGTCCTATACACAAACTGGTATTATCTTGAGCCCCAAAGTTCCCTTTTTTGCAGTTCTTCAATAAATCCTTCTCACACTATCTCCTTTATTGGTTGTCGTCCTGCCAATTCTTTCAGGAGAATGCTCAACACAAAGCCACATTGCAGTTTTCTACATTCGCTGACGGGATGATTGCCTGATGCATAATCGCTAAATTCAGGTGCAGTGCAAGTATGAAACATGAAATCAGGAAGCTCAGAGAACTAGTTCAGAATACCTGACAATAGATACGTTAAAAATTCTTCTAGGATTTTTGACATGAACTATCGAAATATTGCTCGATAAAATGGTAGGTAGGGAACTAGGGATGGCGTTAACCATACACCATTTGTCTGACAAAAATCATTAGGAAATTTGGGGCCAGTTAGTCTGTGAGTTAATATTTGTTGTAAATGCCTATTCAAACAGATTGTGACAGACTGACAGAGACCATATTAGTTGACAAAATTTCACGGAACTACAAGTATTTTTACATAATACACGCAGATCCATAATATTTGACACGTATCACAGAACTTCAACTATTTTGGGCCTTTTGGCACTTGGACCACAGAACCTGGTCCCTAAATAGTTGGTATTTGTTTGCAAGAAAACTGTAGCTTTGTGGTAACAAGTGCCAAAGTAGTTCTATGGTACATGCCAACTATTGATCAACTCATTTGTCAAAGTAGTTATGTGAAACTTGATGTATTGGTTTTGTACAACTAAGTTGTGTAACAGTTTAAGATTTGTGCTTTAACATTTGAAGCTTAGCATAGTTTAGCCGAAGACAGAAAAAAAGTAATAATATCTCAGGAAAGCTCTGATATGTTAGAAGAAACATCCTGCTTGATAAGTTCACGAAAACGTGAATTGAAAATAACATCTGAATATCCGATGTGAAATCAAATCGTGGGGTCTCGGTCTTCATTTAAGCAACACTTCTGTCCAAATGTACAAAATGGTGCAAATGAAATTCATTGCAAAGCATGTCTAAGGATCTGCTTGGATCACTGGATCACTGTACTAAACTCTGTAATCACCTAAAGTTTAGTCCTAGGCCATCTAAACGGGTAAATTAAAAGGTGACTACTATTTGGTCCAGTCTATAGTATTTTTCTCTCACAACAAATCGAACGATTCAGTCGATTTCAATAATAGTTTACGTATTCAAAATATAGGACTAAACTTTACTTGACCGAGTTGGGACTAATGACTAATCTAGGTGATTCAAGAAAACTCTAAAGGCCTATATGTTTTCTTGGAATTGAATATTATTTTAAGAGTCAAGAATCACATTACGTTTTAGATCTTAATTAAAGTGTTTCTATCAGTATGGAGGTTTTTTTTTTGGGTCCAGACTCCAGAGAGATGAGCGGAAGGTGTGGCGACAAATCGCCCTTCCTATTTCTTACCCTTTCTATTTCTTACCCTGCCCAAAAACTCCGGCATCGACCGCTCCTCCTCCTCGGAACCCCGGCCGTGCTCCAACTGAGACCCAATGGCGGAGGCGTTCTGCTGCTGTGTGCTTCGTGCCACCTCGCCCTCTCTTTCGCCCTCTCGCGGGCTCGCCGCCTCCCTTTCTCCCACCTCGTCGTTGCCCGCCGTCTCCCACCTCCGGCATCGCCCTCCTCCTCCCCCACCACCGCCTCATCCGCCTGCTCCGCCACCCGCTCGTCCGCCTCCTCCCGCCGCCCCTCGCGCTCCCCTTTGCCTTCCTCCCGCTCGCCGCCGCCACGCCCCCTGCTCCCTCCTCCTCCACTCCTCTGCTCCCCATCTGCTCCCCCTCCCCGCCGCCCTCCTCCCTCCCTCCTCCCGCCTCCTCCTCCTCCCGCCCTCCTCCTCCTCCCTGCCCCCTGCTCCGCTCCTTCCTCCCTCCCGCGCCTCCCGACCTCCTCCGCCCGCCGCCTCGTTCCTCCTGGCCTCGCGACCTCCAGGCGCCCGCCTCAGACCTCGCCGTCGCTCGCCGCGCGCCCTCCTCCTCCTCGCCGCGGCGGCGGCCTCCCTCGCCTCGTCGCTCTCCGCCGCCGCGCCCAGGGGCTCGACGGCGGCCGGCGCCTACTTCGTCGCCGAGGCGGGGCTCGCCTGCGCGGGCGCCGTGGGCGGGCTCTGGGCGGCGCAGAGCGGGCTCAGCCTCTACGTCGACGCGTGCGTGCCCGCGGGGTGCCACCGTCTCCTGGACGCCGGCGGCGCCGCGCCGCCCACCACGCGGTGCGACGTCGAGGAGGCTAGGCTCAGGGCCGTCGCCGTCATGGATCTCGCCCTGTCCGTGCACTGCGTCGTCGTGGCTGCCGTCGTGGCCGGGGTGCTCCTCGGGGTGGCGAGGTGGTTCGGGGTTGACAGCAGCGCTGGTGTGGGGAGGAGGCATAATGGATCCTCCTATGATGCATTGCCCACAGTGGCGTCTGCTGGGGCAATGGCGGAGATGGAGCATTTGCAGGGGAAGGGTGTTGTTGGCAAGAGCGTGGCGCAGGAGTGAAATATGTGCAATGTATTGGATTAACTAGGTACATTTCAAATGACTCAAGTATATGTTAGAGATGTGAACCCCTGGAATGGCCGAATGGGTGGGGAATTTGGCCAGTCAAAATGGTGGCAGAATTGTTCTGTGGAAGTGGAACACTGATCTTTAGTTGAAATGAGAGGGCACTAGTCGCTGCTGCTGCAGACAAATTGCATTGTTGATTGGCCGTTGGAGCCCAATCTATGGCTGGACCATTGTTGTAGGTTGCTGTACTGATCTCAATGCTTTGTTTGTGTCCACAGTTTGGTATTTGGTAGTTCTGTCTACTTCAGGGGAATTTAATTTGCAATATTTTTTGTTTATTACTTGATTCTTAGTTGTAGTTGTTCATTTGTAGCACTTGTGAAGAAGCATACATATGCCAAATCTCTATGCCCACACATATAACTAGCTAGTGAGCTCTTGTGCTTTTTATACTGACTCTTACATTCACATAGTACCATTTAGGGATTTATTAGCTATATTTGTTCGCCTGTGCTACACTTTTCGAAGAGAGATATTGAGAGAAGCTGAAGGAATTGCATGGATGACCTCATGATGATGATAGTTCCATGAATTAGATGTTATATAAGTCTAAGTGGTGTAGCAAATGAACTGTGGAACCAGAAGTCGGAGAATGTAGAATCCCTTTGCAGTTTGCACCAAGAGATTATTTAGGATCAGAACCTCAGGTTGTAGGGACACCTCTTCTGGGTTCTCATCTCATGATTTGTTAAATTTGATATCTTTACTTCTCAATTATTTGATTAGAAAGTGAAGGGGTTATCCAGCATACTGAAGCTAATTTGGAAAGGTTGACAAGAACCATACTCAGTTTTATTGTGATTCACTGAATCTTATTGAGACTACACCCAACTAGTTCAAAGGAGTATATCCGCAGTCTGCTAGTAGTAGGTTTGTAATGATGTGGCAATGTCAAACTTAAATGCTACTAAATGACGACCATATTCTTCCTTCGTGGAGTTAGCCAGATGATTTTTTTGCTTTTAGATTTATCCTTGAATTTTGCAAATGAATTTTACTATTTGTATCTTTATGCCCTTGTTTTGTTAAAAATCTTATATAACTGAATTAGATAGCCAAGAGTGGCAAATATGTGCTGTTTCCTTCTGAACTATTTTATGGTTTTGGCAAGCTATTCTTCTTCTGCTCATTAAATAATAAAGCAAATCCAAGTAATGGTGTGTTTTCAATTTTTCCATATGCTTCCTCATGTCACTGTGCTGCCAAATATTATTTGGTAGCTGCAAAAATCTTCTATTGACTTATCAGTGATATGCTGGGCTGCAAAAGATGTCCTCTAGAGATTCTGACATTGACAATTAACTACTTGTTGTACCAACTATGATCCATATTTACACCTTTGTAAATCTTTCGCTTAGTGCTTCTTTAGGAAAAGCGAATTGGCTACTCCTTAAAGCAAAGGTCACTTAGGACATCTATATTCTATATCTCTGTCCAATAGGTGATTCTTGTCATTTTTCATTTAGTCTGTCTGTGGGTGAATACTGCTGGACTATGGTTGAACTTATGTAGATGTGACAACTGAATTGCCTGGTTCAGAACATCTTCAACTGTGTATGAATATCTGCTATGTGATTTCTCGTGGTTGCATTCTTGTGTAGCGAGTGAGATTTATAAGATACTAAAGATAGTTCCTTGCACCAAACCATTTCATATGGCTATCCAAGTATGCTACTTTGATTAGGGCAGCGCATCCACTCCTTTGCAATTCGATTAATTATGGAAGTGCTTGCATGCTTTACGGGTAAAAATTGTGACTCATCTTCAAAGAGGCTACTGAACCTTGTGATGCGGCTAAACTGTTAGCTCTACCCAACTTATCAAGAACTTCTGCTGGCATGTACTGTTATTTTTCTTATGCATAGGTGTCAAGACTATGAATAAAGACTGGTGAACATCATATATACAGGAAAGTGAGCATTTAGCTTTCTCTTGATACAAAGCTGGTTAATTTGTGGTAGCCTTGTGATACTAGGTGATCAAGCATGAAAGATGGTGGTTAAATAGCAAATGGGAATCAAACATAACCATGAGTTGGACCAATTGATAGGCACAGTCAGATGCCATTGGACAAAAGTTGTCTTAAAAAAGATAGTTCCACTATGGTAAAGTATCTGGTCTCCTTCTAGGTGGTTGAGCCTATGTTTATCTTACCTGTCTACAATCCAATAACACCTTATTGTTTTAATTATACCTCAGGTGTTGCCTGTCTTGGTCAGATTAGTTTAATAGTATGTGTTAACTGCATCATGCATATATAGTAGGTTCTGAACACTATATAAATGTTCACCAAGTTCTGTCAATCATCCCTTGTGCCTACAACTCCAATGTTGTCTGAACCACCTAGAGCTAAGAGTGACAAATGGCATGGCTCTCTTGGTCCCTCTCTCCCTTGAAGGCTTTCTCTGGCAAATCTGGTTGGCTTGCACAATGAATTTCCACCAGATCTTTGTGAGAAAGCCTTCAGGAGGGGGGGATCCAAGTGAGCCACAGTGCCTGTGCCCAGCAGCCAAGATGTGTACTGTTTAGTTATTTGTGTATTTAATTCATTGTTTGTTTATATGAGAACTTGGTTAATCATTTGTTGTATTGATTGTTTGAAATGATAGCTAATCCCAATCAAAATCAGACAACGGATGTATGAGAAATGTACAGTGGGCGAGTAATATGCTTCTTATCTTTACAGGCAGTGGGCATTACTGATCATCTGTCTCACTTGTATCCAGGTAAGGAGAATTGGGGGTAGGTTGCCAAGTTTTTCTTGGAGCTCTCACGGTCTCAACACAACTGAAAGCTGCACGTACACAAGGAAAGGTATGAGCATTGTCATCACAATAAAGATCGAACAATTTCAAGAAGCTTTATTAGCATTAAGCATGAGAAATTCCTTAAAAGAACATCTTGCATAAATTAGGAGCTGCGCACCTGGCATAATATTGGCAACAAAAAATTCTTTTTGTAGGAGCTGGATGAGTTTTGGGTCTTTGATTACGGAAATGCACGAGATGTTCTCCTGGTCTTGGGCTTCAAAACATTCCTAAGAACAAATATTTTGAGTGTAATTCTTTTTAACGATATTTTTCCTGATAAATGTCTCTTCTGGTATCTGAGTTGTACAAAGCTGACATTTTCCTACTTTTTCTAGTGTAGATTCATATGGTTCCTTTCAGTTGGTTGTCCTCATGTTAGGTTTTATCTCTAGCGTACCCAACTTGCTTGGGACTCAAACCGATGTTGTTGTTGTATTGCAGACGAAGGTTTACTGTTGTTGCGCATGCTCAACTTTCCTAATAGATGCATTCATTAGCAACAATTGGATATGACTTTATGGGTGCTTGCCAAACCGCCAGTTTAGCAGATTGCATCAATCATGAAATAGACCTTTTGTTGATTGAGCACAGAGTCAGATACCAACCACAGATGAAGTCGATTAATCTATTCCTTGTTTTGTGCTAGTACTTGTTAACTGGTAGTGAAGCCAGTCATTCTTTATTCCACAGTCGAAAGGCTTGATTTATTTGTTGTCAACTGTCATTCTTGGTTAATTATGGAGTGAATTGTCCATACTTTTTTCCCCATCAACTTAGGTTTTATGTCGTTTTTCTTTGTTGAAATATGATTGAATCCATATTTTTCTACTAGCTTAAGTTTTATGGTTAGTGTATGCAGCTCACTGTGAGATCAAAGCAAAATGTCTCGAGCTAAGGTTTGATCAAGGCAACTAATGCAAATAAAAATATTGCAGGCGACTCTTGCGCCACGTTTGATAAGCTTCCTCTCTCTTCCCGTCAGTTTATTATAGGTTTTTAGTAGCTCAGTAATTTCCATCCAGATGAATATTGCTCTTATTCTTGATGCATTTGATGGAGCTCGAGGGAGCACAAAATGGGACACCCACGCAGTCTACAGTGCAGAAATACAATACTCTTCGTGCATGTGCTTGCAGATTTCGTTTGTGACTGTGGTCCATGATGATTGTACAGGCTATACCGTAAACTTGGAAGTAGGAACCCTTGGGAAATAAAATTTGTTCATCCTTGTAACATAAAAGCACATCATAGTGAGCAGCATACGTATGCTATCATTGTGAACCTAGGGGACACGCCTCTTAACTTCTTATTCTTATGCCTTATTTGGATGTATTCGTATCCATCTTAATCCATGTGTGATGGAGTGAATTAGAATGAAACTTAGTTTAATTTCATCTTAATCTACTCCAAGACATGGATTGAGGTGGATACGAGTGTATCTAGACAAGCCTTAAGTAAATAGTGAATGATGGAGGGTCAGTGTAGGAAACAATCGTGTTTTCTAGGACCACGAAACACTCGATTTTTCCACCCATTACATGAAGATCGGACGGCTTAGATTAATTTAGTCTGACATAGGGATGAAAATGTTACGGATATTTTCCGACCATATTCGAGACCGACTCCGTTTAGAGGGGTTTAAATCCGTTCGTATCCGAGTCCGGATATTCAACATCCGATACCGTATCCATATCCGAATATTCAAATCGCATATTTATGATGTCAATATCCAATCGTATCCTATCCGGCATGGTTGACACTATCCGTATTCGAATTCGAATCCGGACAGAAATATGAAAACAAATGTAATATCAGTGATATCCGTCCGTATCTGATCTGTTTTCATTCCAAGTCTGACATAACAACAACCCCAAGTCATCTTTTGCCTCCACCCAAGCCACAGCTCCACCGCTGCCGGCAACATGGCACGTGCACCTTGCATCTAACCTCAACATGCCATTTTAATGAACTCTGCCATCACCCCTTCCTCCTCCTCAGGTCTTGTTTGGATGCGTATGTATTCGTCTCAATTCACATGTATTGAAGTGGATTGGAGTGGAACTAAACTAAATTCCATTTCGAATAGACTCCAACACGTGTGTATTGAGTGGATACACATGC